ATCCCACCTCAATTTCACCTGCCCCCCCCGCCATACATTATGAACGCAGCCTTATAATGTTGTCTATAAACGTGCGAGTCTTACTGTAATAAACAGACTTGACGCTGTGGTTTTTCCCTGTAAATACTGGATTACTCCTTGCATTGTAATTAATGTTACCATTCATCATTTTCCATACATCGGTTCACTGGTCAATAATTCAATAATTTATAGGCTATCAAAACTATGTATACTCTAAAAGTCATGCATATTTAATGAGGAGAAAACAAAGCACATCACTACTGTGACAGTGGTTTGGAAATGTATTCTTAATTTGCATTAAATTTCGTAAACTTTTTCTTTGATTTTCTCCAAGAAATATTCAGTTTGAGAAGTAATTTGAAACACTTGAGAGAGTTCTTCCTCCGATTTCCAAACACCTCAAAGTCAGTTAAAAAAACTCGGCGTTTGGAAATCGGAGGAAGAACTCTCTCGCGTGTTTGAAATATGACTTACCACACAACAGTCTTTGTTGTGTTTTTTTACCGCTGTATTTGTCACACAAGCCATAAATATTACCTCAATATTGTACGAATAATTATCTCCTGTGGCACCGAGTCGGAGAACATTGTAAGCCTACGGTCTACTGACTTCAAGATCAATTGAGTGCATTTTGCTGCATTTTGTAGGTCTACCGACTGCGTGAATTGCACACCATGATATCCATGAAAAGTTAACTAACAAAATTGTACGACATTTGTGCAAAATTTTGTAGGTCTACTGAACTTACTAATTTGTGAGATTCCTTACAGAGGTTTTCACTGATATATGGTGTGCACTCTATTAACGACCTCATGATCGCAGTTATCTTATATTGGCAATCTACTTACAACTGGTAAAAGAATAAAGACACACATTTACGTATTAATGCAAGATGGAAATTAAAACTCAATAGAATCTGAAGGGTAAACAGATATATTTTCTTACCTTATACAGTCTTAATGATCGTGTTTTGAAATAAAAGACAGATCGACCCTTATCATCATGGATATAAGGTTCTTCCTCTGGTAAAATATCTCAGGTTTGCTATATATGTAGTGATTATTCTGCAGTCCTTTCTAGGTATACCATTTACAATCAACACAATCACTCAGACATATTGACTTACTGCGCAGTAATCTTAATATTCAGGCTACGTCACTGACTCGTCGTTTTGACCTTCGGTTTTTAGCAGTAATTACTGTGCGACAACATCAACCAAGGCCACCAAAACAAATTTGAAATCAAATTCACAAATCAGATTTTTCGACGCCAAATGACAGTTGCATTGGTGAATTCTAGATTTTAAACACTACTTGTTCTCTCCTGATCATAGAGTGCAAACAATTAATCCATGAATGACTAATTACTAAATAGTACAAAATAGTGCTAATTAAACAATAGAAAACAATGGAATTTGCATGAAATTGTGCTATTTAGTATTACTAAAGTTTCACGGTTATATTGTTTGCACTCTATACACACTCGTATAAAGTAAAATATATGCTTTTTTAAAAAAATGTAAGAATTTGTACAGATTCTGTTGTTTAAATACTCAATCCTGATTGGCTAATTTGTATGAAATTTTGTCTGGGTGCATAGGCCTTGCGCTTGCTTGGTGTAGTTGCAGTCCAACATAATAAGCCTGAAGCGAGATGACGTTTTACCCCCGACTCTATACCATAATAGTTTTWAAAATTCTTTCATATTAAAATTTTTGATTCCTTAGAGAACACAGGAACAATAGTGATAATTAAAGAACAAAAGCAGTGTGAAAAGGATTATGGTTTAGAGACGGGGGTAAAAGTTTAGCGTTTTTTTTTACTCGCTCTTATCGCGTCAAAAATACTCGGATATTTCTGAATTTTGTAAATTAGCTCAAACATTTAGCTGGGCTTTTCACGGTGAATTCAAAATTTTATTTTTGAGTCAGATGCTTTACTGAAAGTAATTTATACTGATTTATACATAGCTGACGCCAACTTAAGTAAATATAGAGTGCATGCAGTCAAACTGTTGAATAGTTGACGTCACCTAAAGTAGATAAGTTATTTACTATTTTAGCTGATGTCACCTAAATTTGAAACTACAAGTAAAGGGGGAGAAACGATGATACAAATGAATGTCTATTCACTCATTCTCTGGTAAAACAACCCCCCGGATTAGCATGACCGTTATTTGGCGCACTTTACTATTTTAGGCGACGTCAACTAAATAGTTATCTAAGTTAGATACATTGCAGTCAAGCGGAAATTCGCCGGAAATGCAGAATTCGGAGTCGGAATCCTATGACATTTTAAAGAAATGCTTTTGATTGACGTACACCAAAACAAGTGATGAAGGTCAAGTTGGGGGCGTGTGACTAGGAATAACAGTAAAGTGTTTGAAACATCAAGAGTAGCAAGTGTTCTGGTGGTCAAATATTTCTCAGAAAATCATTTCAGACCATCATGTCATTCCCTTGAATATTATTTCTTTTTCTATCCAAAGCATACAGAATAATTTCATAGACATTTGACAATCCCTCTTTTCTCTCAAGACTCAGTCAACTTGTTTTGCTGTGTTGGATGTGTGGGGAGGAGGGGCTGGGGATAAGTAGTCAGTTGCTTAGCAACGTCAAGATAGAGTATAGAGATGTGGATTGTAAAACACAGCACAAGAAGACATAGTGTTACATGTACTTGATGCATCTGAGCAAAAACCAGAGCACAGCAAGACTAGCTTGCCAGTCCTGTGGAATGAAGATAGGAGAGTTTATTTATTATGTAAGAAAATAAACTGATAAACAAAGACAACACTTATAACATATTGGGGTTAATAAGCCAGTTCAAAGCGGTTTACAGTGTGCATGTGATTTTATCCCAAAGTCAGCACCTTTTCTTTAATTAAGAACAAAAGAAGGTTTAAACAAAAGGTTAGAAATTTGGGATAAAATCACATGCACACTGAAACCAATTCTCAAGCTATGAACTGGCTTATTACTGAATTCTTGTTGGTCTACATGTATATGGGAAGGGTTTTCATTAATTTCGAGGGCAAATACATGGCCAGTCGATGGACAACTTTCTAACAAAATTTCTAAAAGTTGTCACTTATCTGGCAACACATCTTCAAGGCCAGTCCTATTGACTGGTCAAATGTTTGATCATTTCAATGTGACTAGTTGTCATAAGCAGCCATTATTTCTAGCTCTTACTTTGGTCCCATTTACCAGCTAGTGCACAAGTTCACAGCTGTCTGTGGTTTTGTACCTAATTGCCAGCCCAAGGGTCCAGTGTTGGAGAAGGGAAGCCTCCTTCATCCTTCGTTTGGTATCCCTTTCTCTACCCTATTCTCTCCCCATCTCATATCTGTTATTAACGACTGTACAATAAATGCTTACACTATGCTAAGTTGACTTACCCAAGTAATCATCCATAAGGGAACCAATAGCAAACTGAAAATTAATGAAAATTGCATGTAATCCCATATATAAGAAAAGTTATTCACATATACAGTGGAGTTCTGTTATCTTAACTTAAACCTCGCAGGGACCAGGGGAGAGAATGGAAGTAACAGGGGTATGAAATGATCATGTTAAAAAGTAACGACAGAGTCAGAATGGGACTCATTCTCAAGTTTGAGATATCCTGGGCTCAAGATAAAAGACTTCTAAATTACTTAATGGTGATGCAATTGACTATTTCAGCTTGGATGTAATGTTTTTCCATTTCAGACCACCTGTCATTCTCTTGAGAATAAGATTCTTTGTTTAAGTTGTATGTATATTCATGTGTCTTCTCATGCACATTCGTTAAACAAAAAAATGATATTCAAGGGACTGACATGGTCTGAAATGGGAAAACTTTATGCCAAAGCAGAAAAGGTCTATTAGTTCTGAATCAATAATTTGTGTATAAATGAATATAATACTTACAATATCATTAGCATCTACTCTTGTGCCAACAATCCGCAGTCTGATATCATCATCTTGTTGGTATACAACATCCTGAAATGGAAAAGTGTAAACAATCAGTGGAAGCCATTAGCGTTCCCCTTGAACACTCTTTCTCAGTGCTTCATTTCAAGCATGTTTAAAGCTAAAGTCAGAGATTAGAGAGACATTAAGACAAGTATATGAAATCAAATTTTGGATCTCTTGCTCTTCTTGCACTTCACTTCACTTGCATGTTGGTGGTTGGGAATTAAAATCGCTTAAATAAATTATAAAAATAATGGGATTAACAGTGGATTCCATAGAGTGGCTCTTTTTCCACTGGATTCCAATTGGAATTCACTTACCTCATCCTTAGTTTTATAGCAGGGGGGGTTAGAGTTAGGGTCAAATTCCATGTCTGGTGGGATAGACTAAAACAGAAAGCAAACAAACTACTCATTAAAACAGAGCAGATTTCATGATAGGGAAAAACATACATAAAGATGTATGATGATTACGTTAACCCAAACAAGGGCAGGTCTAGCAAACCTGTGACCCCACTCACTCAGTAACAAGCAAAGAATTGCTTCAACTAATGCTAATTATCTGTTCTGTATTATGGTGGTTGTAGAGTAATGTAGTAATCTTATATTCAAATAATTACTCATTTTATCAGTGGTATACTCACATGTCTAGATACAAAGCATGATAAAGGTCCAATTTCTGTAAAAAGTCCAAGCTGTTGTCAAAATAAGGAAGATATTGTTAATGATAACAATTCAGCCTCCAATAGCTTTAAGGTTCAGATGTCGTGCCTAAGTAGAGCATGCATGAATTTGGTCCAATCTTTCTGGTTCTTACACCGAGGGGGTCGAGGTGTCACATTCCTCTGTGAACAACATATGAATATTTCTTGGACCTTGGTGTTTGTTGTTACCTTATTAACTTGGGTTATAACAGCATCTAATACTTCTCCTTTGAACGGGCGAAAGACAATGGCCTGCAAAACAAAATTTTCAATTCAAAACTCAAAGACTTCAAAACAGTTCCTAAGAACACTATATTCTTTGTTTGCACTTTATGTCATTACTGCCATGCTAGTGATATATTTAACAGAAGACTTCTCTTAAGCTTACATTGTTAATACCGCCAACATGGCAGCCATGCCTCTGTTCATATTTGACTCTCTTGGGAATGCTTGCAAACTTACATACAATACCTTGTATGAGTTTTGTATGAGAAAAATACCTTGTATTTGACTGGATACACCACAAACCCTCTTCCAGGCTGTATATGTCCTACACCAATATTATCTATCGTAGTTACGGCAATAATAAAACCATATCTAAAAATAAGATAGCAAAACTATGATCAGACTGTACATGGATAATAATTATGCGTTCTTCAACATAACACAACGAGCTTTGGGGAACGATAACCTAATAAATATTATCTAAATTTCAATAGTATGTTAGTGTATAAGGCTTACTTTCCACTGCAAGTTCCTTCTACTTCTGTAAACAGCTTTTGTTTGACGGTTTGAAGTAAGTTAGGACCGAAGTATCGAGGATGAAGAAGGATTTCGTGCTCTAAAGAGATCTAAAAAAAACAGTATAAATCAAAAAATATTCATAAAACAATACAACTATATACTTAATACATTAAATGTATCTACTTACATGGTAAAACATATTATAATATAGATAAAAATACGGTTTTTCAAGCAAAGACTTGTCAACAGTTTCACATGTGAGTTTCCAAGATGGCTCCCTTTGAAACTGTCATACTGGGTATCCTGTGGTTTATTAGGCCGAGAGAGCTTGGAAAAAGAGTAATAATTTTGAAAGATGTCAAAGGAAGAGGGTAAATATGTATTGAAAAGTTTATTACAAATAATAGAAAATAGGATAAAAGAGGTAAGGAAGCAAATACTTAAGGATATAGTATTATTTTTTAAAAGTTTTAGCCAAGGAATAATGTGAATATTTTGTTATTTGTTTTTTAGATTGGACTCAACCAAAGCATGGTGTATTGGAGTATAGATTATAGCAAGATTGATAAAGCACATGTTGAACAAGACTTTGCTCTTAGCATTATTGATAAACTAATACAAAATCTACAAGTAAGATCAAAAGATCAAAAGATCAAAAGATCAAAAGATCAAAATATTTTTGAAAGGGCTCTGTTCATTCTTGCTTCTCTTTTGCAATCCTTTACTCAGGAATATGCTCCAATCCTTTATTGTTCCTAGTTATGAAATAATATTTAAGAGAATCTCTCAAGTTTTTGGTTCATAAGATACACACTTGTATGTTTCTATGCATATTTCAATTATTTCATCCAAATTAAAATATTAGTTATATCTAAAGGTTTGTGTATATATTTTGGCAGGAATTACAAGACCAGTGTAAAACAGCCGAGAGTAACACATCTGAGCAGCCGCAGAAAAAGATCAAAATTGATCAAGATTCTCTTAACAAGACCAACATTCCCAAGCAAAACAAYCAAGGTAATGTTACCTGTGTTTTTACAGCAGTTTTTTTAGGTGTGTTACAGTAGTTTGCTACTGTCCTATACCTTCAAAAATACCTTCAATCTATTATTGAACCCTGAACAACCTCTGGGCTGATTCAAGTCAGGGCACGGCTAACTCACAGATTGAACCCTGAAACAACCTCTGGGTTGATCTAAGTCAGAGCATGGCTAACTCACAGATTGAACCCTGAAACAACCTCTGGGCTGATCTAAGTCAGGGCACGGCTAACTCACAGATTGAACCCCGAAACAACCTCAGAGCATGGCTAACTTGATTGTTCTAAGTGTTCATTTGTATCTTTCCTTATTAGAGGATATCCAAGTACATCAAGATATAGACTGGACACTGGTTCAAGTGACAGCAAACAAGTCTGAGGTAAAAACAACATGACCACATAAAGCTTGTATTCATTTTAGTCTATGAACATCAGCTTTAGTAAAATGTAGTATCACAATACCTTGCATATCTGATTGCCGCCAGTCTACTTAGTGTCAGATTTTCAATGTTTTTATCATTTTCTAGATTGATAGAAGAATATCTGCTTTCATGCAACAGAAGCAGAATGAGGTGAACTTGGTCAACATACGAGAATTCTGTAACATCGTAGAAAATAACCAAGAAAATGGTAAATATCATGGGATCCCTGTGTTGATGAAAAAAGATCAGGGGAGGGGTTGGGATATTATGTTGATTTGTCTTAGTGCTTATTCAGAGAAAATCATGTTTAGTCGGCAGTTGTGCAAGAACCGATGCTATATTTGTGCCAAGATATGGTCAGAAGAGCCACATCAAAGGTAAAAAGTGATATCTTTTCCCAGAGTGAATGCTTTCAACTGCATGGGTTGCCTGTGGTAGATTTTACTGAAAAGCCTTCCAATGAAAAAATATTTATCAGAAAAGAGATTTTTTCCAGCTAATTCACATCCCCCAGAAATGTCTTCCAGCTGAAACAAGGAAACCAAACTGACCTTAAAATAAGAGTACTGCACATTTTGGGTAACTAAGCGAAATTTTTTCCCTTCTTGTCTTTCTGTGAAATGTTTCCTATCTAATAAATTTGGGGTATGAAACACTTGATTTTGTTCTGTAGTAACACGTGTTGGAAATACAAGTACGTCAGATGAAGCACAGGCCCTTAGTCACGTGACAGATAACACGAAATTGTCTGGGAATCCAAAGGTGACGTGTACAGAATCCCGTGTCACTGAAAGACTGCATAATATAGAACATCATCTAGGATTTACACCAGGTAGGTCGTCTTGAATCCATTAAGTAATTTTTCAACTAGCAACAGGTCATTATAGCTTAATACCAGGGTGTATTACAGATGTATTCATAAGCAACAGAGTGATTTTATTTGAAGGATAAGCGCATTTTGGCGGGAAACAAACGCGCCCGTGCCTCGAAAGAGACATTTTGGCGGGAAAGAGAAGTTCTCTTATTTGAGTCTGATGTTTTGCTGGTTTTGGCGGGAAACAGACGCGCTTGTGCCTTGGGAGACCGACATTTTGGCATTTTGGTGGAATTGTGTTTTTTTTTTTTGTCTTCAGGAAAACCTGTTCCACTAGATGTTTATGAACGAATCCGAGACTTAGAAAGCAGAATTCTTCATCTGGAAAGTTTATCGCCAGAATATTTTGATAAAAACAAAGTAAGTACCGCGTCAGTACCGCACGAAAATTTGTTTTAGACACTTTTGATTCTGTTAACGGTAACTCCGCGTTCTCTGGTTTTCTTCCCTCCGCAAAACTGAGGCTAAATATTCCGATTCAATCCGTGAGGGTTTCCTGTGCCCTGACTTAGATCAGCCCAGAGGTTGTTTCAAGATTCGATAATATTAAAAGGTGTATACTTCGTTGTAGGTTTGCCAAACCTCGCGGTCACGAGCAAGTAACTCATCTTCACTTGAGGTTAGTGACATCACTCTTATTGGATACCAATTGATGTCATATATTGACAAAAACGAATGAGGCCTGAAGCGGGGATTGGGAAATGTCACTCTGTGTAGGCATTAGTCCGTTGAAAGAGCAAGAAATCGTATCTGAATACGAAAGGATTCGAACACACGTCCACCGACAGAAATTTAAAGATTCAATTCTACTTTGCCATACCCCCGCAACGTCTGCTGAAGCTGAGGCGTCATATGGACTTCAGATCTGACGGCAATAGGTCTACCCTTAATGCACGAATTGCTCGAAGGCACAGGAAATGACGTAAATTGGTAGTAAGCTGTTCCCTGGCGAGGCTGACCAGAAAACTTGCGCGATATGATTCGCACAGGGTTTGTCACTCTTTTATATCGTGACTGTGTCTTATGCCTCCATTTTTTTCTGATAAGCTATCTTTCCCAGCTCATTATTTGATCTCTTCCTGTGTCTTTGGGCTCAACTTGCCTTCCAGTGAAGCGGCAAGTTAATTGATTCTATAAAAGTGACAATTCTTTTAGGAAATGTTTTTGGTCTGTTTTTAACTTTTATGCCCAAAGCAATCAAAACTATGGAACCTGGATCCGGAATCATTTCGGAATCCAAGGAATCCACAAATTATCTTTGTTTCAAAGACTATGAAATTCAAAATCTGATCTTCTTATGGATTTTATTGCATGGATCAGCGAGATTTTTCTTATACTCGAATTGTAATTTTAACGAGTTCCATTTTCCCATGTATTTTATCATATCCCATTATTTTAATATATTTGATTGTCTTGTTAGAGTATGTCTCTGTCGACCATCGACGAACGCATCTCGGCACTCAAGAATATGCTGCTCAATAGATCTCGATGATCTCTCATCGTGTGCAGTCAAGACTAGCATGATGATGACTTCAGATGATGCAGCCAATGAGAGGTAGACTTAGTGATGCAGCCAAGACTAGCATGATGATGACGTCAGATGATGCAGCCAATGAGAGGTAGACTTAGTTATTTATAAAACGAGCTAAGTTTAGTTAAATAGGTACCTAGAGGATTATTTAAGATACGCTGTTTTTAACTGGGGGTAGGCTGGGGAATGCTTGCAACAGTTTTCTTAAAAAGTCTATGACCTTCCTGCCTTCAGTTGACATTCTCTCCTCCACCCAGAAAAACGTGAAGTTTTGTTACGGTCTTAAAACACAGGTTTAACCCTTAAAAAACTCTGAAGTTCTGCTAAAGACAACCCCCTCCCCCCTTAGAAAATCTCTTTTGGCTTTGAACACCCAATGTACACTCATCTGATACTTTATGAATAGATTTTTAATAATTCATCATTGGGCTTATTACAATGTGTTTTTTACATGGTTCAGTAGATTTATAAATAACTTGTTGATTTAAATGTACAATTTTCACGAAAAATGTCTTTCTTCATTCGAATATTCTGAACTAAGTCGGTACAGTTGTTTCTACAATCAATCTTTCACTAAATTTAAATTTTTTTGTARCCGAGTATGTTCTAAACAAAATTGCTAGGGAAAAAGAATCCCTAGAAATTTGAAGTTAAAGCAATTTAACTGCGTTTGAAACAGTTTGCGACGTGCACATTTTTAAATAAATTAGTCAATGCAGGTCACGTGAGCATGCAAATATGTTGTCATTATCTACAAATGCTGCCTTGGCATTCGTCGTTGTTGCCAGGCAACCAACTTTGAAGTTCTTCCTCATCATATCATGTTTTTGGAACCAGTCTTTATGCATCCACTCCATCCACAGGGAGCCCGAATGCTTGTAAATAACCTGTTTATTATAAATGTCATTTACAAACTAAATGTTTGTTTTCTTATGGGTTTTCAGCAGTTTTCGTTGTTTTTCGTTATATTTACATGAGTAGTGTACAATTTTCTTTTGGAGCGGAATTTCAAAACCCAAGTTACGGTCAAGCGACTAATGATGCGCGCATCATATCTGATGGATACAATAGGAGCAATTTTTTACTCAATTGAGAGGGCTGGGGAAGGTGTGTCGTCTTCCCGTTCCTTCTTAATATATTTTACTGTGATCTCGTGTTCTTGTTTATTGCTGTTGATGTTGTTGTTGATGTGTTCCATCGCCCGTTTCCTTAGCGACGCAATGCTGTGTGACCTTCGATCTTCTTCGCTTTCGTCTCCTTGTTCTTGGTCGTCTTTCTCGTTTTCTAAGCCATCTCCTTGTTGCTTTGCCTTCTTGTGCATTCCTAGAAGCCATGGTGCTGAGCTAGGTGTAAGATGAGGGGGGAGGGGTAAGGAGTGCCTTACCATTGCACCGTACAAGCCGTATTCTGCCATGATCGAACTGTGTCCCCAACACTTCTCCTTCTTTCTCCACTTCGCTCGACGGTTTTGAAACCAAACCTGGAGTGACATCAAAAAAAAGAAGAATTAGTATTGTTCTGATGAAAAAATTACCATTTAAAATTGAGTGGCTAACTTAAGAATACATGCAAATGTAACTTTAAGATTCATTATCGGAATCCTGAAACAACCTCCGGGCTGATCTACGTCAGGACACAGCTAACTCACAGATCAATCCCTGAAACAACCTCTGGGCTGATCTAAGTCAGGGCATGGCTAACTCACAGATCAAACCCTGAAACAACCTCTGGGCTAATCTAAGTCAGGGCATGGCTAACTCACAGATCGAACCCTGAAACAACCTCCGGGCTGATCTACGTCAGGACACAGCTAACTCACAGATCAAACCCTGAAACGACCTCTGGGCTGCGTGATCAAATGATCAAAGTCAGGTACGGCAAACTCAATCAAATTGGAATTTAGCAAGTTAGGTTTTGTGTAGGGGAAAAAATTAGAGAACCTGGAGAAAAATCCTCGAATCAATGGAAAGACGCAGTATTCAAACTCTGCTAACCGCAGAGGTAATAGCCAGGCGAGTGATTACTGCTACACAAGGCCTTGATTCACAAGATTAAGTCCATTTTTTTATAAGTGCATATCTTTAAAACAATTTCAGGAAAAATACTTCGCTGTAAAAATGCTCAAGCAAATGAAAACGTCTAGTATAAAGCATCAAGAATAGTACAAAAGGCACTATGTTTTGTACAAAACGATCAAACAGAACACTAAGTTCTTCAACGTATTTTCTAGTGAAAATTTTGCCTTAATTAATTTAATTATGCCTTCACTYTAGTCGACCTTCCCTTTCCGTGTTTAGCAAACAGAAAGGTTTCTTAAAACTTCGTCAAAAACGGAAAGTTTCGTGCTACAAGAAAAGCTTTTCAGTGGACTGAGTTCACCAACCAACCGTTTCTTTGAAACAAATTAAGTCAACACTTTGAAGCTTCGTACTTTGTATGTCATCGTACAAACTGTTTGACTTCAACTTCAAAGTGTACAAAAAGAATAATAAACCTATTAAGAAGTTCAATCGAAAAAGAAACTCTTCATACAAATCACTGTGTCAAGTAACCAGATATGCTTATCTTAAGTCAATTTTTTCTCTATTAAACAGAAGTAAAAGAGTAAAGAGTATTTCTATAAAGTAAATTACAAAACTGCCTTGTGATGATATACGTAACACCCACTAATTTTCACTTGTCAGAAGCACTGCCATGTTCTTCCGATGTGGAACCAAGACATCCCYGAATACGCGATAATACCCAGAGAAATTAAAACAAATGAAGTTCTGCCCAATTCAGTCAAGATAACACAGCTCTAGAGGATGAGATGAATATGATAAGAATAGAAATCGGAAATTGTATGACTGTGGGGGGAAGATGGCAAGGTACAGAGACTAAACTTGCTTGTAATCTTCTGTCATTTTCTCATCCGTTTTTCCATCCATCTACAATTATTTTTTGTTGTTGTTCGTCGAGACAATAAATAAACTTCTCGATTTCTCTTTGTCGATAATCTAGCCAGCCGATGAAAGCTCTAGATTCTGTTATTAAACTTTTGTGTAATCATAGTGTCGTTATCTAAGTCAGTACACAAGCGGGAACATCTAATGAAATGATTTTGTTCCCCTCTCTCATTACGCGAAGAATAGATATCAGATTATCAATAAAACAACTCGCCGAAACAAAACCCGGGCAGAATAAAGTAGCCTGTTTATTAATGAACGAATGAAAGAAGTCACCATGTTTACTCAGGCTTTTCAATTTGTTAAAAAGTAAAGCTCACTTTTTGTTCTGTTTAACTAACCAGTCAAGGCGCTAGCCGGTGTTTTTAGACATTAAAAGCAATGTTATCGAAAGCGGAGATCTTAAAACTGCTCAACACAACTTTCTTTATTAAAATAACGGAGGGAAAAAGACATGTGATGTTAGGAAAGTCTCTATAATCCCAGTTACATAAACTCCAAAGTTCATTTTCATTTTCAAAGTCACTCTCGCCTGTTAAAAATTCAAATCGCCAACTGATTAAAACTTCCTGTTTCACAAATAAAAAAATAAAAAAAAAACCCAAAAAAATCTACTGTCATTCTAAAAAAACGCCTTACGACCAAAAATCCCAAGGTTACACTAGTTTATACTTAATCATTCATTTTTATTGCTTCATAATTGACTTATTTTACAAACTCATTTTGACATTGTTGGAAAGTTAATTTTTTTCCTTTAAAAGTTGGGCGTGGTTTGCAGCACACAAAGTGACAATTTACGGCGCGCTTACTCCATTAATATTCACCAAGAGGAAAATACAATTACAGTCTCTCCCAGCTACATTTACATTACTTAATACTCTATATTCCAAATTGTTTTGGAATGTTGAAGAAAAACATGGTTTTTTCCTTGTGAATACATTTTCTCTGCTAGTTGGAGTATTCTCCTGGATATGGAAAAATATAAACACACACACAAAAAAAGGAAAAAAATCTTTAAATCCGAGAGTAAATGTAGACAATTTACCAAGAATATTAGAACTAAGCAGAATATAGATTGGGAAATAGAAAATTCGCTTAATAATTTTATTCAAACAACTTCATTCCGCATTTACGTTCGAGTCGAAACAAATAGTTTAAATGACTCGTAAAAAGCCAATTGTCATTTCGTTAATGATTGTAAATTGTGTGAATACTCTATAATTATTTATTGCAACTATTATTCTTCCAATTTCTGGTTCATTTCAGCACACGAATCTTGAACGCCCAATTGCCTTAAGGGGAATTACCAAACAATATGCGGCAAGAATGAATCAGAAAGAATTATATTTATGAATGGATTTTATTTGTCTGTCGTTCGTGTGGTTTAATAGCTTCTTCTATTAGTCTAACAAAGATATCACTGTCTATAATTTATAAACAAAAAGGTCCCTTCCTTCCTTACGAACTTTGAATCGTATGAAAATGCCAAGAACTTCATTCCACAGTGAATCTTTTCATGGCGGATTATTAACTTCCAAATTTACCAGTACATTGTAAGAGTTATTACATATTTTTGTATACAAAGTAATTTATCTTGAACTATAGATTGTTTTGCAAACTACATTTCCACTTGATTCGCAGACATTATCTTTTTTATCGCTTCAAAACTCGTGATCTTCAAAGTTATCAAATATGTACTACTGAATCTACTTCAGCTTCGCTTTGGTCTGGTCGTACTTAGGTTTATTGGACTAAGTTTTTTAATGACTTGTAGGAATTTTTATTTCGCAATCTTATTACGACAAACGTAAGCAGTTGTTTTGTACAGTTACCATTATTCGAAGCTTCATTTTGATTTCGTTTTTCCCTTGATGCAATACTGTCCAAAAAATGTACAAAAAGCTATTGAAAAATTTCCTAGTTTACGTAAATATAAACTCCTTTGCTCTACCATAATAATTGCTGCTCGACCGAAACCAAAAATAATTTTCCTTTTTCTCTCATTATTTACAAGTAATTTTTCATTCTTTTATAATTTTTCAATAATAATAATAGTTCTTCGCACCAAAATTAGTTCCATTTATTCCTTTACGATTTGAATCACAATTTTTATCTCAGCACAACTGAAAACACTTTCAATTTCGTGCCGAGAAATTTCTTCTAATTTGCCATTAAAAAAATATTAGTTCAACGCTGGTTTCAAGTCATTACAAGCCATCAACCAATAATGGCTTTTTCGGTTTTAATATTTATAAAAGAAGCTTTAATGTCGTTGCGTAATTTGCTATTAACCGCCTATCATTAGTTCTGAATCAGACTCGCAGATTAAAAGCGATGAAACCTAACACCAAAATAAGAAAAAAACACGAATCCATTAACCATAATATCGGTTATGTCGATATATTGCGCCATGGATGTTGACTCAGAATCCCTAGATTTTTTTAACTTTAACGTAAACCTGTTATCTCCTTAATCGGCTTGAAAGCAGTATAAATCTAGATGATTTTCGTTACTAAAATCTCACTTGATAGTGTAACTTTACAGTAAGTTGTCTTAGTCCGCCGTTAGGAGTTCCAAATCACGGCTCCTTCGTTTGCTCTTTAAAAGCTCTTTGTCTCTTTGTAGAAAAGAAACTCGATTTCATGATTACAACACGTTTCTGTTCCTCTCTTTAATGTCATTCTTAACTCCAAAGAAAGCGCTATGTTCCGATAACGATAATTACTCAAAACTCATACGCTACTCTACTCCTTTCAATGGCCTTTCAAAGCCTTTATGTTCTAGTTCAGAGACAATATACACGAGAAATACTCTTCAGAACTTATGATTAGGGTTTTCAGCACAACAAGTCCACTCCACCGCCTCTCGTCACATTAGGAATCTTTTTCCTCCTCATCACATTAACAGCGATAACGCTTGACGATCCGATATCCTAATATTTGCACGAGGTTAGGTATTCCCCACCGCACTTTTCGTTCACAGATAGCAACAACCCTGAATATTGTTTTAGTTTGTGATTAGGTTCCTATTTAAGGTAATAAAAACATGTTTTAATCCTTAAGTAAAACTATGACGTCAACCAACAATAACTAATTTTTTGATCTTTAAATCGGCTCGTATGAACGAATAATTTTGTCTCAAAAACGTGGAAGCTTATGACTTTTACTTTGTTCGATTTTTCTGAGAAGTGATAAATATTTAATTCATGTTTGGCGATGCTATTCGTGTTGTTTTTAATGCTCAAACCAGCTTATCACTCAAACTTAGGTTTTTGGGGGTCTTGTAGATTTTGGATAACGATTTGTGTGTATGAAAACAGCCTCGACACTACTGAAAAATGCCGCTTTCCTCTCCAACATCTTTTCACAACACAAACAAAGATAAGCTGTTTGAAGGATATTTTTATATCCCACGATGAAAAAAAAAAAAAAAAAGAGAAAGAAGAAAAAGATTTTTTTTTTTTCATTTTTATTTACTCGGATTAGGCCAGTTTTCTCACAGTAATTTGGGTAATAGTAGAGATCATTAACTGGCTTGGACTTGTTTAGTTCTAATTACTTCAGATTGCTATATAGTGCGGTCACACTGGCCAAGCAAATGCCCTATGATTACAGGTTTGCCCTGGGCAGTGAGACTTTGGGGACCCATGTCTTTTTGATTCAAATCATTTCAAGCCTCTTAAGAACTTAGACATTATTAGAGAGCTGGAACTGCATCTCTGAAACAAAAGGTTACAAGCAAAGCTATTTTTGTATTCTACTTCGACTTTGTTTAATTCTGTTGAGGGCATGCTAAGAAAATTCTTAAAACTTCTCAATTCAGTCGAAGAGTTGAACACTTCCGAGAAAAGTACATTTAACGGCTTTCTTCCTCACACATTTTTGATGTAAAAGTAAACATGTTTTTTTAAGTCTTATTACTTATTTGACGGTTTTCCATTTCATATAAGATTTGAATTGCTTTCGATTTGTTTTTTTTTTCTTGGTCTATTCAACTTAAAGAAAATTACTAAATAATAGCTTGTTAGTATAGTTTATAGACTGAATGCTTTGTTTATATGGTTTTGATATATCCGGTATAGAACGCCGTTTTTGATCCGTACTAAAAGGCCATCGCGCGCCGTTTACAAACACTCGGTCTTCGTACTATGTCCGCAGCCGTGCAAAATGGCGCGCCCATTCTTCAGCAGCAGGTGACTTGACATAGAAAAATCAAAAATCTAAAAGTGCTCAGAGATTCCATCAGCGGTATAAATCTTTAACGGCTTTCCGTATTTCAACTACTTCAACAAAAACTAAAAGTAGGCGAAAATGGAATTTTTATCTCAAAAATATGAAGCTAGTTATTATTTGAATACTGCCTATCCCGAGGGCAAGAATTCCTCATTTAACTTTTTGGCTGAACTGTATTGAAATTAGCCCATAGAACACTAGCCTTTGGCTATCTTGGAATAGAAAGATCACCAACATAGAAAAAATTGCTTTATAATATGGTCTTAATATGGTCTTCAATCAATAATTTACTGCGTTTGAATCGTGCATCCTCCCAGGAAGAAACGACAATCTACTCATTTATTTTTTTAAATGGTTGAATTTTACCCTAAAATTCATTCAAAAAATGTTAATTGTTGGTCTTTACTACCACCGTTTTTTTCTCAGTCTTACTAAATTTTTGAGTCTTTTAACTAGTAATTTTCGCTGTAAAAGAAATAGAAAATTAGCAGCGATAAAAGCCTATTTTGCACACCGTAGAGATCGCTATATTTCGCATACCAGGGACTCTATAAAGCGATAACACTTGCTGCACAAGAACACTGAAGTAAATCTTTCTACGCGTATTTACGCCCAAATCTTGTGCCGGCAAACGATATCAAAAATTCTGCTCAAATTTAGCCTAAAAAATCAACCAATCTGGCGAAATTAGGGTCCTTACCCAACTGAGAAACTACTAATGTAGAGGGTACGAGGCTGGAAACAGATTGTTCACGATTTTTACAGCCCAAATGACACTTTTAGTAATTTTTATATATTTAACAACCACGTTTGGAGTTTGTCTGACTGATAAGTAGTAAAATAAGACTATTTTCAATAATTAATACCAATTATATTTCGTATTGCTTGCTTTGCTAACTGATTGAAGATTCTTAACATAAGGTAAAAATGTCAGCAATACTTTGTGTTAAGCTCTTCAAAACGAGTCATATTTTTGATTTTCTTTTCAAGATGCTTTAGGTTTGACATGATTAAACATGAAGCGTAAAATAGGGTTAAAATAAAGATCATATGGTTTTACATTTCTGCCAATCCAGTTCTAATAATTATTGTTCCATGTCCGGTTAAGAGTGTGAAATCAATGTCTAAAATTTACTTTCAAAATTTGTACTTTTAAATATAAAAAAATATCCGTTTCTTTCTTACTTGAAGAAGAAATTTATGTGTAACTTCTGGGATGCTAAAATTTAGATTTGAAATGAAATTTCGTGTTTATGTGGAAGAAAATTTAGCAAAGGAAGTACTAAAGAAACACAAATAGAAAGAAATCAGAACTATAAAGTCAATTGAATTGTTTCTCATTGTAAAACTGAAACAACAGACATAATTTGCCTTGACTGAAATTTTTAATTTTTTTCCTCCAACACCTAATTTGTGTTCAAGATTATTAAACCTTGACCGGGAGTTGAAGAGTAAATATTCCTAGTTTACTCAGCAAAATGAACGGAGTTTACAAGTAAATTCACCGTGAAAGTAATGACTCATTTGTATTTATTGTTTATGTTATGATTTTTTATCATTTGGGAAGAAAATTCGTGAACGAAATTAGCAGAAAACTAGAATGTTTTTTGTGTGTCAGTTTTGTAGGGTGCGTTTGACTGAAGAACTGCGCTTTTCCATGGCGCGCCTAGTAAAAAGACAAAGAATTTAAAGTAAACGTTCGTCAGTGAAGATATGTTAATAATGATAATTTCCTCTTTCTAAACTGGCCTGATAACTGATCTTCGTAAAAAGCTCTCTTTTAGCCTCGAGGTTCAAGGCCTAATTTGCCATTTTACCAGCGGGCAAATTTACAATCATTAGCAATCGTGCCGAAAAACTCAACTCCCGAAAAAGACTGACCAAAAAACCGGAATGTCATTTCGACAAATTTAGTCTTTTGGAGGTTCTCAGTCTAAATTAGTGCCATTGGGGTTGTGTAAACGATGTGTTTGAGGTTGTCTAGAGATGTTTTTTTGTCTCATTCTATGAAAGGAAAGATCCTGGTTCGTTATCTGTCTTTCAAAACTTAGACTCAGTCCAGCGTCTTTATGAGCTTTTTCTTGTCTTATCTTGACAAACACACCCAAGGTTTTCTTTGAGGATGAGTTTCCTCGCATTCAATTCAAATAGGATTTGTTCCTAACTAAACAAAGGGTAATAACGGCTTCGAAATTAGTCCTACATTCTTATCCGCTATTTGTGTTTTCTTTGCCATTCTTTCATTCTAGGTCGAGCGGTGTTGGTGGTGCCGGATGAAGTTCACAAAACCTGTCTTGTGCTATCAAACATCATTTGAAGTACCCGCATCTGACAATACATCTGAGAATTTATCATTCTCATTTTTTCTCTCTCTTTTCTTTTTCAATTCATAATCACGATATCAAATTTGCATAACGCCCTCCTTATGAGCTGTTTTTGCCCTACCACTGTTCGAAAATTAACCCTTTTAATGTTCATACAAATTCACAAGTTTAGCCCTAGACTCCTGATAGATCTTTGATGCGTTTAAAACAAGTTCGGACTGCGTTTGCTTAGAGCGAGAATGTCAGGATCTACATTAGCTATGAATACATAGCTTGACCAAGTATTTGACAGTTTCATTAATGTTGTCTCATCGTTTCAACTTATATTAAAATCAAAGCGGGAAAAAATGACTACACATCGGTGATGAGTAGCTTATGAAAACTTCATTACTCCATGTATGTTTCCTGTTAAAATTTATTAAGATGATTTCCATGTTATCAGGCGTATTTCCGTTGTAAAGGGAGACGATAACGTTCTATATTTGAGCTGTAATAAAATCTGAAGAGTGCTAAATAAACTCGACGGTCCATCCGAAAGGCCGGKGAAATCATTTCAAAGAAAGCAATTAGGTAAACCTGAATATGAAATATTCAAACCAGTTGAAGTCCTATGCGATAAAAGGGACTACAAACTCTAAGACCTTAATTAAGGACACATCTTTCTGTTGTCATAGGTCTAGTTTTGCTCACTTCCGATCTATACTGACACAAATGAAAAAAGAAAATATGATTTAGAAATCAGCCTATAAAGGAAAGTTTATCCAATGGAGTTCATGTTTCATGGCTAATATTTTACTTCAATAGCGATTTTCATGCGTTGCCCAAAAAGAGCGATTCTCATAATCTTAGAAAAAGGGAAATGTTTAAGTGAGGTGTGAGTGACGCGCGTGCGTTCACCGCTTAAGTATTGTCTTAGATCTTGGCCGAGATTAATAACTTTGAGCCTATAAACTTGTCTATTGATTTTGATTTATTACGGCAGTCCTGAATCGTCTCGTCTGTCAATGAACACACCTGCCGCGCAATGCAAGCACAGGATAATTACCGTAATTAGAACGACTTCATAGTCTTAATGAACATTAATGACGCGAAATAGAGAGTAATTTTTGGGAGCTTTCAACATTGCAAAGTAAAAAAACGACATGGGATTTATTAAGTAAGACAGTTACATTTTTAATCCGTGCATATCAATCAATTTAAAACTGTTTTTTAGCTGGATTCTGAGAGTATTTTCGACTTGATTCTCTCAGGTTTGGATCTCGAACATAAAGATGTTTATCATCTTCCCCATTCATGTTCTTTTTTTTCTATATTTCTCAAGATTTTCCTCCCTCATTTTCAAGTCTTTACGCTTAGTAAATTATACATAAATGTAGATGAAAACATTTCATTGTTTTGTCTTTTTGTTTTTGATTTTTTTGTCTCAATGCCACAATCATTCTTGTTACGCTAGGCAATTTAAACTGATAAATATATGAATATTGAAGAACCTTACCTGGATTCTATCCTCTGGCAGATCTATCTTCAACGAGAGACTTTCTCTTGCATAAACATCAGGGTAATGACTGTCTTTAAATGCCTTTTCTAGTTCTTCAAGCTGATAGTTTGTGAATATTGTCCGGTGTCTTCGTTTTTTCGTCTTCTTGGAGCTGAATTTTTCATGGCTTCCAATCGAGAGATTATGTTCAGGTTTGGAATCATTTCTCAAATCTAACAACGCAAATGAAAAGAGAAATTATACCTTTTCAATTTTAAAACTTTGACAAATTTAAGGATATGATATTTGTTACAGATTTGGAAACAATATTTCGAGTTTGAAGATTTGCGTTAAGAATAATAATAAAAAGAGCAAATACGATGTTCATTTCTCGTAAACCCTGTAATGAGCTTTGAGAGACTTAGTCCAATTGTCAGTGTACCTCTACAACGAAGCGGTTAAATTGGTCTAACGCTAGGTATGGTCGGTCGTATCCTAACAAGGGTCTAAATCAAGTGGAGTGATATTTCTTTACGGACATTACTGTCGAGATTTTGTGTCTTTTCCAGCTTGAAAAGGAGTGTTCTGTCACTAGCATGCTTCCCAGTGTTCACCTTGTTAATTAAAACCATTAGAGTTCATTTAAAGCGTATTTGCCCTTTAATCGTCCCCACACGTTCTTCCTCGTATGATCTTTCAAAATTCGCTTTTCTGTTTTTACAGAAACTCGATACAGAAACTCATAACTAGGATATTTCCTGTCCGCTTAATTCCTTGCTTACCAATAATATAAGAAACTTGAAACTTACCCGTGAATTTTTCCGGTGTTGTGATAGATTCGAGAGTCGAATATGAGCGTTCGGACAAGCTCTCTTGGATAGTTGAGCTGGGTTTAGATTTAGCGTCTTTTTCTCCAAGCCCAAGGATGTCGTGGATTGCAAACGAGTGAACTGGAGATGAGCGTTTTACTGGAGGAAGAATTTCACCACGGGAAAGAGAGAGACAAAATGCGATATCTCGATCCATAGCTGAATTGTTGAACGTCTTGGATACACTTTTTTGGTAGCGAATGGACACGGCTTTTTCCACCGAGGTTGTTCAATGTAATGAATCTTAGTTCATCTATTYTATGGCTTAAATACTGTTCTAATCATTTTTATCGTTGATTTTTGATAATTAGCCATTGTATTGCACTGAGGAATAGCGCAGAGGAAATTGAACAATCACTCGTCACATGTCAATCAAATATCACCTGGACATCCCTTTCTAACACAGTTCATTATGAGTCGCCTATTATTAGCTACATTATACTCGAAATGCCTTTAACCTAAATAATAACCAAGACAAAAACACACCAATTGTACGCCTCCAGTAAAAATCCCCAATTCTATAAAGAAAGGGTTTTTGTTAGGTGTGTGGGTCGAAATCTTTGCGCGCGCTGTGATATTTCCTTCCGAGAATTTTGACATTCAAGTCTTTTATTTTTTGAAGAATATTTCGGGGACCCGAAGCTGGGCCAAAGAAAAGAACTATTACTTTGTTAAGTCAACATTATTATACACCGAGCAGGATATACTTCAAAGAGGATGCTTTCTAGCTGTTTTAATAGCAAAATAATAACGGTACTCACAAAGCCGGACTGACGAATTAATACCTGAAAAAACTAAGAACTGGAACCTAATTAAAGCTTAGTTTCGAGTTGAAAACACTACAATTACAAACTACAGCTCTCTCTAACCGAGAATAAAGTTTGCGAGAATTTCAGCCTTTCTTTTCCAATTCGTTCTCATTTTTTCCATCGGCAAACGGAACTTCTACCCTAGTCCTGATTATCCCTCTTGAAATATGGCAGCTTTGCTATCGGTGTTTTTTACTTGGGACTAATTTACAGATATTGTATGCAAGAGATATATGATTTCTTTTTTATCTCAAAGACGGTGAAATTCTTTTTGTCAAATTAGTACGGAAGGAGGCCCATCAAACGCCAGGGATCTTTGGCCAAAGTGTAAATTACACACGAGCACTGGCTTGACAGCTGTCAATTCATGTCAAAAAGCTTTACAATATAGAGAGTTGGACGAGAGAGAAATAAAGCATACGAAAAGGCCAAAAGATAGTAGAGTAAAAGTTGTTAGCAGGTGCAAGGAACGGAGGAACGGGTTGCAGTAGATAGTTACTTCACACAACAAGAAATTCATTCACTTCAAACTCGGACCGAGTCAACTGAACCGTTAGGCTTCAACCTTCAGATCTATTATTTATAAACTCAACCCAAAGTTTAAAGTAACAATAAACTGTTAAATGAAAAGAAAAATATTTWAAAAAAATTTTACTCATATTTCATTGTTTTCGTCAAACTATTTTCCGAGCCAGGCTGAGCGTTTGTTTTTTGTTTGTTTGTTTTTTTWAAATTTTCTCTCCCTTTGGGACCATATGATATTCTACTTTGATGATATGAAAAAATACTTAGATTTTGTAATCTTTTATTTGTATTTAAAGTTTAATTTTCTGAAACTCATTCTTTTCAGAAAGTACAATCTTACAAATACTTGTTATTCAATTTGTTACAAATTACGACAATTTTGTCAAACTTCCTTAAATTTTCGCTGTTTTTCCCATCTAGTAAATCGTTTTTCCTAATCATATCGTAGCAGGCGTTCTTAATTTCGGTCAAATTTCATCAAATTAAAGACGGTACTTTGATTTAGCAAGTCGGCCAAACCTAAAGTACTTCAGGAAATCTCACAATGATTTATTAAAAATCATTGTGAAATGAAATTAGGAATTTTCAGCACTTTCTTTCGCGAATATTTTTGTTCCATAAACTTTAAACATCTCATTAATTTCTCAATGGAAAATAGTTTTAATGTTTTAGTTCATGCTTTTTATCTCAGCTTTAGTGATTTTCCAAATAATGACATTTTCATTTCATTTCAAGCATTTTTTTTTTTTTTTGTGAAATCAAATAATCTTTCTGTTCAATCTTTTCATATTTCAACGTTTTTCTTGCGGAAAAACGAATGTCAAACCTGTACCGACTTGGAGTACAACGGGCTTCCTTATCTAACCTTGGATCAAATTTACTCTCACGCAAAGTTGAGAGTAAATAGTATTTTTCTCTAACTTCTATCATTACTAGTTTATATCAGAGATATGGTTTCATCAGTTTGTTTTGGAGCGAAAACCGATCGGGGTTTCAGTAGTTTTTGCTGAACGCATTAGTTTTACTCAAAACTTTTTACCAAACTGCCTTTTATTGGAGTTTATTCTAATAACCTATGAACTTAACTAAGTATATTTAACAAACGTACAAACTTAACTCAACATTATTAATTTCTTCATTGAAAAATAACCAACTCGCACACTCGTGATTATTAAAAATTTAATCAAACTTTCAAATAACTCAAATTGTTTTCTAATTTACTGTATTATTTGATTCCAATCTGGTGTAAGTTTTTTTACTCGTAGTTTATTTACTTCCATAACTGCTGTCAAATTCAATCGTTTGGTGTCGGGCCGGTTAATGCAACTGTTGATAATCATTGGTAATAATGATTCTGAGTTAAATATACTAAGATAGCGGCTGATTTCAAGTTAAACAGAGTCTTTTCTTCTTCTGAATTCATTTCCACAGTTAATTGCTTAACATTTTATTTCTACTTTGAAATTAATTTTCAAGAGGTTTGGCTGTCGTTGATGATTTGAGATTAGGAAACAAGAAATGCCTTTTTAGTACATTTTACAAATTATTCGATCTACTTGTACTGTACTTCAATAAATTCTGATCAATATTTATTATTTTTGTTTCTTTGTTTTTCAAGTTTATTTCTTTTAATGAGAAGTATAAAAAAAACGCTCTAAATCAAAATTGTTTCTAATAAAGTTTCCAAGAATAAAGTTATCCGTCTACACCGTTCACAAATTATGGGATATTGATAATTTACCGCACCCACAACCTGCCAAGCCAAATGCACTGCATTACTAGGTCCCATATGGTAGAAACTTGTTTAAGATGYTCATCACTGATTATCATCAATTTTATTTTGATTCGGATTTAAGAATATCAACTTAAAAAAATATATATAAATATAAATATATATATCGGCAAATTCCATTAAAATTGAGGCTTAAAAACTTAAGGATTATCTCTTTGTGGGACGCTAATTCTACTAACTATTCATCCTCTATACTATTAGCTTGGCTTAGCTGGTCCCACTCGGGGTCTACTGAACTCAGAAAGACTCCAGAGCACTAAAGAATGATTAGAATTTACGAGGCTAGAAAAATGGCACCCTCATCGTACTCAAATAGATTAGGCAAACGAGAAGGAATTTTCACTAACTTACTAACACTAAAGCTGTCAAAAGCCGTGGACCATACATTCCATCCTTGCTTAGGCCAAATCCAGATCGTTCCAGTACTAGTATAGCATGGATTCAACATTCCTTGTAAATCGATTTGAACCTGTTTCTGTGTTCCTGACCACTACTAATGTATGCAGAGCTTTCACTGTTCTACTTTTTTCTCAACTCGAAAAGAACTGAATTAGATTTCAGTTTTAGCTCTAGATTAATTATTGAATTTCCTATCCTAACTCAGTTGATTTATTTCTATCTTGATCAACAGTTTACGGTTTATTCTTTTCAAAATAAATGCACGAAGCTACTTAGCTTGGTCGACGCGCTAAAACTTCGGAATCTTGTGTCAACGAAAAGAACGATCAAAATGACATTGTAACATTGGTTGGGCAAGAGAGTGCGTTGCGTTCATTATGCTTGTAGAAAGAGAGGTCCTTTAACTGGTTGGGAACATTAGCGAGAAAAGCTTGCGTACAGTGTTGGTGTGTKTCGGTGTATTTCACTGTCTGTCTGTCTATTGTGTTGAACAAATAGTCGAAATTTAGATTAATGAGTGTCTTTTTCAGTGTTTATCGTATATCTTAAAGATATCTGCTTAAGATATAACTGAAGAACTATAGTGGACAGAATATAACGACAGATAAGAGTGGCAGAAATTAAAAATGCGTATGTTTTTTTCTTCTTTTTCTTTCTTTCTTTCTTTTTCTCTTAACAGTTTAAGTGCTATTTGATCATAGATTTTATAGTTCAAAGTCGCGTTTTGGAACCGGCTTAAACGCTATTCCTCATTTTCTTTTAACTATTCCCGATTCATAACTTTAAATGCGACAACTCGCCTTTAGTATAAAGATACTTCTGTCTAATAAAAACCAGTCTCACATCTCCCAAAAGAAATCAGCTTCAAAACCTTTTACTTCCAAGTGCTGATTAATGCATGATTAATTGAAGCTCACTCGAGGTTTTCCACTGGTAATTTGTGCGAGCCAAAATCCGTTAAACTTCACCATAACTGGTCAAGCTTGGTGTACCTGGACAAAACTTCTGTTTTATGAATAAAGAAGACGTTTTTAATAGAAATTTCCTTAAAAAATACGATTAWCTACGCAGTACTGACTCACCCAAGAGGACTTTTCTTGAGTAGCCCATGAAAGTAAGCAGCCACGTGACTAGGTCCCAGGACCCAAAAGAGTAAATTTGCTGCAAGTATCTAGTACGTTCTGGTTCAATTTATACACAATGTGACCATAAAACTTTACCAAATTCTCTCTTTTCTTCATTAAAAAAAACATATTTTAAAGAATTCGTGACTTGAAGTTTCTTGATTTACTCCGACGAATGATAACTATAAACGTCAATACAGTTAAAAACATAAGTTTCCTTCTCAGTTACTTAATACAAGGTGTTTGTTTCCTTATGATCAACTTGAAGTTTATTTGTTTAATTGTTTTTAGCTTTAAAATACCGGCTGACTTGCAGTGTTGAATTTTCTAAATTTTTCTGAACTAAACTCTTTAAACTATTTTCTTGGACTGATTTTCTAAGAGGAATAAGAGTATGATTTGTACCGGAGTAAAATAGCAGAGGGGTAGAAAGAAGAACAATGACATACAATATGGAAGGCTAGAGTGTTCTAACACTCATTAACCGTGTCATTAAAGAACTGGAAAAAACAATTAATTTCAATGAACTCCACTCTAGTCTATAACAAAACACTTAAAAAAGTCTAAACTATTAAGCGAATCTTTGTTCAAAACTACCCGAATCTCTCCACGATAATTTAACTCA